ATACAGAGGTGAGTGGCCCGCCTAGAAACAACAGTGAGGTCACTCTTCATAGGACATCCCCCCACTGATGGCGCTGAGCAGACAGCTGGAGGGCCAGCTGGGCGACGCAGGAGAGGTGGTCCAGCTATCCGACCCAAAGACTGGGCCGGACAGAACCAGGGTCCTAACCTGGTCCAGAACCTGGGGTGGGTTCTAGAGGGCAGAGGTGTTGTTCTGCCACACAGGCCGGATCAGCTGATCTGGTCCAGGTGTGGTTCTGGTTTACAGGCCAATGATCAGCTGATCTGGTCCAGGTGTGGTTCTGGTTTACAGGCCAATGATCAGCTGATCTGGTCCAGGTGTGGTTCTGGTTTACAGACCAATGAGCAGCCCATCTGGTCCAGGTGTGGTTCTGGTTTACAGACCAATGAGCAGCTGATCTGGTCCAGGTGTGGTTCTGGTTTACAGACCAATGAGCAGCTGATCTGGTCCAGGTGTGGTTCTGGTTTAGAGGCCAATGAGCAGCTGATCTGGTCCAGCTGATCTGGTCCAGGTGTGGTTCTGGTTTACAGGCCGATGAGCAGCTGATCTGGTCCAGGTGTGGTTCTGGTTTACAGGCCGATGAGCAGCTGATCTGGTCCAGGTGTGGTTCTGGTTTAGAGGCCAATGAGCAGCTGATCTGGTCCAGGTGTGGTTCTGGTTTACAGGCCAATGAGCAGCTGATCTGGTCCAGGTGTGGTTCTGGTTTACAGGCCAATGAGCAGCTGATCTGGTCCAGGTGTGGTTCTGGTTTACAGGCCAATGAGCAGCTGATCTGGTCCAGGTGTGGTTCTGGTTTACAGGCCAATGAGCAGCTGATCTGGTCCAGGTGTGGTTCTGGTTTACAGGCCAATGAGCAGCTGATCTGGTCCAGGTGTGGTTCTGGTTTACAGGCCAATGAGCAGCTGATCTGGTCCAGGTGTGGTTCTGGTTTACAGGCCGATGAGCAGCTGATCTGGTCCAGGTGTGGTTCTGGTTTACAGGCCAATGAGCAGCTGATCTGGTCCAGGTGTGGTTCTGGTTTACAGGCCAATGAGCAGCTGATCTGGTCCAGGTGTGGTTCTGGTTTAGAGGCCGATGAGCAGCTGATCTGGTCCAGGGGTGGTTCTGGTTTACAGGCCGATGATCAGCTGATCTGGTCCAGGTGTGGTTCTGGTTTACAGGCCGATGATCAGCTGATCTGGTCCAGGTGTGGTTCTGGTTTAGAGGCTGATGAGCAGCTGATCTGGTCCAGGTGTGGTTCTGGTTTACAGGCCAATGAGCAGCTGATCTGGTCCAGGTGTGGTTCTGGTTTAGAGGCCGATGATCAGCTGATCTGGTCCAGGTGTGGTTCTGGTTTACAGGCCAATGAGCAGCTGATCTGGTCCAGGTGTGGTTCTGGTTTACAGGCCAATGAGCAGCTGATCTGGTCCAGGTGTGGTTCTGGTTTAGAGGCCGATGATCAGCTGATCTGGTCCAGGTGTGGTTCTGGTTTACAGGCCAATGAGCAGCTGATCTGGTCCAGGTGTGGTTCTGGTTTACAGGCCAATGAGCAGCTGATCTGGTCCAGGTGTGGTTCTGGTTTACAGGCCAATGAGCAGCTGATCTGGTCCAGGTGTGGTTCTGGTTTAGAGGCTGATGAGCAGCTGATCTGGTCCAGGTGTGGTTCTGGTTTACAGGCCAATGAGCAGCTGATCTGGTCCAGGTGTGGTTCTGGTTTAGAGGCCAATGAGCAGCTGATCTGGTCCAGGTGTGGTTCTGGTTTAGAGGCCGATGAGCAGCTGATCTGGTCCAGGTGTGGTTCTGGTTTAGAGGCCGATGAGCAGCTGATCTGGTCCAGGTGTGGTTCTGGTTTACAGGCCGATGAGCAGCTGATCTGGTCCAGGTGTGGTTCTGGTTTACAGGCCGATGAGCAGCTGATCTGGTCCAGGTGTGGTTCTGGTTTACAGGCCGATGAGCAGCTGATCTGGTCCAGGTGTGGTTCTGGTTTACAGGCCGATGAGCAGCTGATCTGGTCCAGGTGTGGTTCTGGTTTACAGGCCGATGAGCAGCTGATCTGGTCCAGGTGTGGTTCTGGTTTACAGGCCGATGAGCAGCTGATCTGGTCCAGGTGTGGTTCTGGTTTACAGGCCAATGAGCAGCTGATCTGGTCCAGGTGTGGTTCTGGTTTACAGGCCGATGAGCAGCTGATCTGGTCCAGCTGTGGTTCTGGTTTACAGGCAAATGAGCAGCCGATCTGGTCCAGGTGTGGTTCTGGTTTACAGGCCAATGAGCAGCCGATCTGGTCCAGGTGTGGTTCTGGTTTACAGGCCAATGAGCAGCTGATCTGGTCCAGGTGTGGTTCTGGTTTAGAGGCCGATGAGCAGCTGATCTGGTCCAGGTGTGGTTCTGGTTTAGAGGCTGATGAGCAGCTGATCTGGTCCAGGTGTGGTTCTGGTTTAGAGGCTGATGAGCAGCTGATCTGGTCCAGGTGTGGTTCTGGTTTAGAGGCCGATGAGCAGCTGATCTGGTCCAGGTGTGGTTCTGGTTTAGAGGCTGATGAGCAGCTGATCTGGTCCAGGTGTGGTTCTGGTTTACAGGCAAATGAGCAGCTGATCTGGTCCAGGTGTGGTTCTGGTTTACAGGCAAATGAGCAGCTGATCTGGTCCAGGTGTGGTTCTGGTTTACAGGCCAATGAGCAGCTGATCTGGTCCAGGTGTGGTTCTGGTTTACAGGCCAATGAGCAGCTGATCTGGTCCAGGTGTGGTTCTGGTTTACAGGCAAATGAGCAGCTGATCTGGTCCAGGTGTGGTTCTGGTTTACAGGCAAATGAGCAGCTGATCTGGTCCAGGTGTGGTTCTGGTTTACAGGCCAATGAGCAGCTGATCTGGTCCAGGTGTGGTTCTGGTTTACAGGCCAATGAGCAGCTGATCTGGTCCAGGTGTGGTTCTGGTTTACAGGCCAATGAGCAGCTGATCTGGTCCAGGTGTGGTTCTGGTTTACAGGCCAATAAGCAGCTGATCTGGTCCAGGTGTGGTTCTGGTTTACAGGCCAATGAGCAGCTGATCTGGTCCAGGTGTGGTTCTGGTTTACAGGCCAATGAGCAGCTGATCTGGTCCAGGTGTGGTTCTGGTTTATAGGCCGATGATCAGCTGATCTGGTCCAGGTGTGGTTCTGGTTTACAGGCCGATGAGCAGCTGATCTGGTCCAGGTGTGGTTCTGGTTTACAGGCCAATGAGCAGCTGATCTGGTCCAGGTGTGGTTCTGGTTTACAGGCCGATGAGCAGCTGATCTGGTCCAGGTGTGGTTCTGGTTTACAGGCCAATGATCAGCTGATCTGGTCCAGGTGTGGTTCTGGTTTACAGGCCAATGAGCAGCTGATCTGGTCCAGGTGTGGTTCTGGTTTACAGGCCAATGAGCAGCTGATCTGGTCCAGGTGTGGTTCTGGTTTACAGGCCAATGATCAGCTGATCTGGTCCAGGTGTGGTTCTGGTTTACAGGCCAATGATCAGCTGATCTGGTCCAGGTGTGGTTCTGGTTTACAGGCTGATGAGCAGCTGATCTGGTCCAGGTGTGGTTCTGGTTTACAGGCCGATGAGCAGCTGATCTGGTCCAGGTGTGGTTCTGGTTTACAGGCCAATGAGCAGCTGATCTGGTCCAGGTGTGGTTCTGGTTTACAGGCCAATGAGCAGCTGATCTGGTCCAGGTGTGGTTCTGGTTTACAGGCCAATGATCAGCTGATCTGGTCCAGGTGTGGTTCTGGTTTACAGGCCGATGAGCAGCTGATCTGGTCCAGGTGTGGTTCTGGTTTACAGGCCAATGAGCAGCTGATCTGGTCCAGGTGTGGTTCTGGTTTACAGGCCGATGAGCAGCTGATCTGGTCCAGGTGTGGTTCTGGTTTACAGGCCGATGAGCAGCTGATCTGGTCCAGGTGTGGTTCTGGTTTACAGGCCGATGAGCAGCTGATCTGGTCCAGGTGTGGTTCTGGTTTACAGGCCGATGAGCAGCTGATCTGGTCCAGGTGTGGTTCTGGTTTACAGGCTGATGAGCAGCTGATCTGGTCCAGGTGTGGTTCTGGTTTACAGGCTGATGAGCAGCTGATCTGGTCCAGGTGTGGTTCTGGTTTACAGGCCAATGAGCAGCTGATCTGGTCCAGGTGTGGTTCTGGTTTACAGGCCAATGAGCAGCTGATCTGGTCCAGGTGTGGTTCTGGTTTACAGGCCAATGAGCAGCTGATCTGGTCCAGGTGTGGTTCTGGTTTACAGGCCAATGAGCAGCTGATCTGGTCCAGGTGTGGTTCTGGTTTACAGGCTGATGAGCAGCTGATCTGGTCCAGGTGTGGTTCTGGTTTACAGGCTGATGAGCAGCTGATCTGGTCCAGGTGTGGTTCTGGTTTACAGGCCAATGAGCAGCTGATCTGGTCCAGGTGTGGTTCTGGTTTACAGGCCAATGAGCAGCTGATCTGGTCCAGGTGTGGTTCTGGTTTACAGGCCAATGAGCAGCTGATCTGGTCCAGGTGTGGTTCTGGTTTACAGGCCAATGAGCAGCTGATCTGGTCCAGGTGTGGTTCTGGTTTACAGGCTGATGAGCAGCTGATCTGGTCCAGGTGTGGTTCTGGTTTACAGGCTGATGAGCAGCTGATCTGGTCCAGGTGTGGTTCTGGTTTACAGGCCAATGAGCAGCTGATCTGGTCCAGGTGTGGTTCTGGTTTACAGGCCAATGAGCAGCTGATCTGGTCCAGGTGTGGTTCTGGTTTACAGGCCAATGAGCAGCTGATCTGGTCCAGGTGTGGTTCTGTTCAGATTCAGTATTTAATGGTTATTGTTGTTAAACTGCGTTTAATGATCAACCAGCTGCTTTCATGGACGTTCCTCCTGAATGTTTCTGTAGAGCCGATGGTGCTCAGGAACTTCAGCATCCTGCTCCTTTCAAAATAAAAGCCTGATATCTAAACTGTGTTGCTCTAGGTCTCCTAGATCTGTCAGGAGATGGTTCCGGATTCATCACCAGGTCCCGACTCAGATCTCTGCTGCAGGACCTCAGCAAGGTAGATCCGTTTAAGACTACATCTCCCAGCATGCCCCTGGCCTCCAGCTTTCTAACCCCAGTGTTCAGGTTCCCACGGCGGTGGAGGAAGAGGAGGAAGAGGAGGAAGATGTGTTTGGCAGCGTGGAGGCAGCAGTGAGCTCCTGTTTCCACAAGGTGAGAGAAACCGACCTTGACTTCAGCGGATCATCGTCATCCTGCTGACCTTACCTGTCTGCAGGGAGGGGCTCCCGCTGTCACTGAGGCTCATCTGCTATCGTGGCTAAAGAGCGAGCCCCGTCTGCTGCTATGGTTACCGGCTCTCCACAGGTTGTCCTTCAGTCAGAGGGTCAGCCACCACGTCCGCTGCCACACCTGTAAGACCTCTCCTATCACTGGCCTCAGGTGAGAACCCACAGTCCTCATTGAAGCTCGGGTCCAGGTGGAGCAGAACCCTGAACTGAGTCTCTGCTCAGGTATCGCTGCAAAACCTGCCTGAATGTCCATGTTTGCCTCCAGTGCTTCTTAACCGGCCGACAGAGCAGGAAGCACAAAACCCACCATCCTCTGGTGGAGCTCTGCACCCAGGTGAGACACTGACAGGTGAGGTCAGAGCAGGTGAGACACTGACAGGTGAGGTCAGAGCAGGTGAGACACAGGAAACAGACAGGTGAGACATGGAGGTGAGATAGAGCCAGAGATCAGTGACAGGTGAGGTCAGAACTCAGGCTTCCACCCTCTTGTACTCTTTCTGTTTAATCAGCCCACCTGGAGAGAGTCGTTGTCCTCCTTTGTGCAAAATGCTCGTTATGCCCTGTTACCACGGCGATCTACTCACCGAGGGAATAATGGGAGGAAGGTCCTAAAGGGGGAGGAGCCAGGACCGATCCAAAACAGGTGAGAGAGAGCAGAAGGTTTCCTTTAAGAATCTGTTAGAAGGTTTAAAGCTTTGTCCTCAGAGCTCCGCCCTCCTCTGATGCGTCGTCGCTATTGGCGGACTCGCCTCACCCCACCTCCTCCGATGTTCTCCATGATGCCTCAGTGCAGGCATCTCCTCCTCCTTCTTCATGCAAGTCTCTGCAGACCGATGAGGTGATGACCTGCCAGGTGAGCTCCTCTTCATCACGCGGTGTCCGATGGTGGACTGACGTGTCTCTTCCAGCAGGGGGACGCGCTGCAGGCTGAAATCAGGAACCTGCACAGAGATAAGTGGTGAGTCTGGAGACCGTCACTGCTCCGGTAAGAGGCGTCGGAGGTTCTCTGACTGGATCTGAATCTGTCCAATAGGCTGCTGGAGCAGCAGCTGGGGGCGTGGCGCCTCACCGTCCAATCAGAGCAGGCGGTTCTGGAGGACAGGTGCTCTGAGATGGAGGCTACCATGGAAACCGTGAGACAGCAAAACCACAGACTGCAGGACATGCTCACACAGGTAGGCTGCTGGCAGCTGGAGGTGAAGTGCATGATGGGAGTTGTAGTTAACAATCAGGTCTGGTGTGTCAGGCTTTGAGAAAGATGGAGGCTGAGCAACACGCTAACAACACGGAACATGCAGCTGGAGGAACCGCCACACCCTCCTCCGACTCTCTGAGCTCTGAGGAAGAGGAGAAGCTGATGAAGGAGAACTGGAGCCCAGATGAGCTTGAAACTCCATCTCCCACAATGCAACACCAACCGTCCCCGTCACCTGACGAAGCATCAGACCATCAGCCAATAGGACAACAGGGGGAGCCAGAGGGGGCGGGCCTACAAACAAACCCCTCCTGTCTGTCTGAAGGAGAGCATCATGGGATGTGTAGTCCTGAAGAGCAGCTGCAGCAGATCGTGGACAGATTGAAGATGGAGGAAAAGTGGACAGAAAAAACACCAGGTGAGACACAGGACAGGAAGAATGAGACACAGGTGGACAGACAGGTTAGAGCTGAGACAGAGGACAGAGGTCAGATGTACATCAATCTCTCAGGTCCAAACCCACCTGTTCTGTCTGTGTCCAGGTGTGGTGATGAAGGAGGAGCTAGTGGAGGCGGCGCTGCAGGTGGGCGCCTCGGTGTCTGACCTGGTGGACGCAGTGAAGACAGACTAACGGCAATCTGATTAAAAAAACTGTTTATTCAACAGGAACAAAGGTGCAAACCGTACAAACTGTGTCACCATGGCAACCACAGCCTCTGATCCAGAGGTAAAAACCGTACAAACTGTGTCACCATGGCAACCACAGCCTCTGATCCAGAGGTAAAAACCGTACAAACTGTGTCACCATGGCAACCACAGCCTCTGATCCAGAGGTAAAAACCAAACAAACTGTGTCACCATGGCAACCAGAGCCTCTGATCCAGAGGTAAAAACCGTACAAACTGTGTCACCATGGCAACCAGAGCCAAACTTGTCTCTGTTCTGCTTTAATGAGATTCTAATCCTCGCTAGATGACATCACAGTCCTTCCTGCTACCTGCCCCCCCTCTCACAGCCCCGCCCCCTCTGGCTCCTCCCCCTGCGGGGGGGAAGGAGGTCGCTGCCTGGAGAACGGAGAGGCTTCCTACTGGGAGCTGCTCGTCGGAGCCCCTCCCTCCTAGGTGGAGGGGGCGGGGTTTTAAGCTGTGTCCGTCTCTGGGACTGCGGGGGGCGTGGCCTGCCCCCCCTCTGTGACCTGCATGTAGCTGCAGACGGCGTCCTCCCCCTCCTCCTGGCAGTGTTCCTTCCACTGAGCGTCCCCAGCAGGGTAGCGTCGCTCTTAGGCCCCCCCTCTGGCCGTCTGTCCATGTTGAGGTCTGGACTCAGACTGCGGAACAGCTGGCGGACACACGGCGGCGGCGGCTGCCCTGAGGGGGCGGAGCCTCTGGGTCTGAGTGCTCTCTGGGGAGGGCTCCTTAGGATCTGGTTCGTTCCGGGCTCGTAGAACTTGACAGGAAGTCTTTTATACTTGACCTTGAAGCGCTGCAGGTCGACAGGACGGCGCCGCCTGCGGCAGCGTTTGGGGGCGGAGCCTTCAGGTGACGTGGGAACGGAGCAGGGAGGGCCGCAGAGCAGGTAGATCAGAGAGGTGCGTGGCTGAACAGGGCTGACAATGCTGGAGTAGCAAGGAGGAAGAGAATGCAACATCTGGGTCTCTGGGGTCCTCTCATTGGCTGCAGGGAGGTTTGGGGGCGGAGCCTCTGAGGACAGCTGATGGACAGTCGGGATGACCATTCGTACAGTCTGAGTGCTGTGACTAACTTTCACCACCTGAGAGAACAAACCATGGATGTTAGATAAATGCTTCTAGGAGAAGAACATAGACCCAACCTTCTTCTGCTGACCTGGCACCTGGACGCCAGCCGGAAGCCACGCCTCCTCTTCCTCACACAGGCAGAGTCATCCTCATCGCGAGCCGCCAAGGGCAGCAGGTCCACGTCTGGTTCTGCCGCCTCCGTCAGCTCCTTCTTCCTCCTGCTGCTTCGACCAAACCTGGGAGAAGGAAAACACCTGAGGTGGTTACAGGTCACCTGGTCCTAACCAATCCCCCCCGTAAGCCCGGTCCTAACGCTTCACCTGAGTTAGCCTGGTCCTAACGCTTCACCCGAGTTAGCCTGGTCCTAACGCTTCACCCGAGTTAGCCTGGTCCTAACGCTTCACCCGAGTTAGCCTGGTCCTAACGCTTCACCCGAGTTAGCCTGGTCCTAACGCATCACCCGAGTTAGCCTGGTCCTAACGCTTCACCCGAGTTAGCCTGGTCCAAACGCTTCACCCGAGTTAGCCTGGTCCTAACGCTTCACCTGAGTTAGCCTGGTCCTAACGCTTCACCCGAGTTAGCCTGGTCCTAACACTTCACCCGAGTTAGCCTGGTCCTAACGCATCACCCGAGTTAGCCTGGTCCTAACGCTTCACCCGAGTTAGCCTGGTCCAAACGCTTCACCCGAGTTAGCCTGGTCCTAACGCATCACCTGAGTTAGCCTGGTCCTAACGCTTCACCTGAGTTAGCCTGGTCCTAACGCTTCACCCGAGTTAGCCTGGTACTAACGCTTCACCCGAGTTAGCCTGGTCCTAACGCATCACCTGAGTTAGCCTGGTCCTAACGCTTCACCCGAGTTAGCATGGTCCTAACGCTTCACCCGAGTTAGCCTGGTCCTAACGCTTCACCCGAGTTAGCCTGGTCCTAACGCTTCACCTGAGTTAGCCTGGTTCTAAAGTATCACCTGAGTTAGCCTGGGCCTAACGCTTCACCCGAGTTAGCCTGGTTCTAAAGCATCACCTGAGTTAGCCTGGTTCTAAAGTATCACCTGAGTTAGCCTGGTTCTAAAGCATCACCTGAGTTAGCCTGGTTCTAAAGTATCACCTGAGTTAGCCTGGTTCTAAAGCATCACCCGAGTTAGCCTGGTTCTAAAGCATCACCTGAGTTAGCCTGGTTCTAAAGTATCACCTGAGTTAGCCTGGGCCTAAAGCATCACCTGAGTTAGCATAGTCCGAACGCATCACCCGAGTTAGCCTGGTTCTAAAGCATCACCTGAGTTAGCCTGGTTCTAAAGTATCACCTGAGTTAGCCTGGGCCTAAAGCATCACCCGAGATAGCCTGGTTCTAAAGCATCACCTGAGTTAGCCTGGTTCTAAAGTATCACCTGAGTTAGCCTGGGCCTAAAGCATCACCTGAGTTAGCATAGTCCGAACGCATCACCTGAGTTAGCCTGGTCCTAAAGCATCACCTGAGTTAGCCTGGGCCTAAAGCATCACCTGAGTTAGCATAGTCCGAACGCATCACCTGAGTTAGCCTGGTTCTAAAGCATCACCTGAGTTAGCATAGTCCGAACGCATCACCCGAGTAAGCCTGGTCCTAAAGCATCACCTGAGTTAGCCCGGTCCTAACGCATCACCTGAGTTAGCCTGGTTCTAAAGCATCACCTGAGTTAGCATAGTCCGAACGCATCACCCGAGTTAGCCTGGTCCTAAAGCATCACCTGAGTTAGCCCGGTCCTAAAGCATCACCTGAGTTAGCCTGGGCCTAAAGCATCACCTGAGTTAGCATAGTCCGAACGCATCACCCGAGTAAGCCTGGTCCTAAAGCATCACCTGAGTTAGCCTGGTCCTAACGCTTCACCTGAGTTAGCCTGGTCCTAACGCTTCACCCGAGTTAGCCTGGTCCTAACGCTTCACCCGAGTTAGCCTGGTCCTAACGCATCACCTGAGTTAGCCTGGTCCTAACGCTTCACCCAAGTTAGCCTGGTCCTAACGCTTCACCCGAGTTAGCCTGGTCCTAACGCTTCACCTGAGTTAGCATAGTCCGAACGCATCACCCGAGATAGCCTGGTTCTAAAGCATCACCTGAGTTAGCCTGGTTCTAAAGTATCACCTGAGTTAGCCTGGGCCTAAAGCATCACCCGAGTTAGCCTGGTTCTAAAGCATCACCTGAGTTAGCCTGGTTCTAAAGTATCACCTGAGTTAGCCTGGGCCTAAAGCATCACCTGAGTTAGCATAGTCCGAACGCATCACCTGAGTTAGCCTGGGCCTAAAGCATCACCTGAGTTAGCCTGGGCCTAAAGCATCACCTGAGTTAGCATAGTCCGAACGCATCACCTGAGTTAGCCTGGTTCTAAAGCATCACCTGAGTTAGCATAGTCCGAACGCATCACCCGAGTAAGCCTGGTCCTAAAGCATCACCTGAGTTAGCCCGGTCCTAACGCATCACCTGAGTTAGCCTGGTTCTAAAGCATCACCTGAGTTAGCATAGTCCGAACGCATCACCCGAGTTAGCCTGGTCCTAAAGCATCACCTGAGTTAGCCCGGTCCTAAAGCATCACCTGAGTTAGCCTGGGCCTAAAGCATCACCTGAGTTAGCATAGTCCGAACGCATCACCTGAGTTAGCCTGGTTCTAAAGCATCACCTGAGTTAGCATAGTCCGAACGCATCACGTGAGTTAGCCTGGTTCTAAAGCATCACCTGAGTTAGCATAGTCCGAACGCATCACCTGAGTTAGCCTGGTCCTAACGCTTCACCCGAGTTAGCAGGGCCCTAACGCTTCACCCGAGTTAGCCTGGTCCTAACGCATCACCTGAGTTAGCATAGTCCGAACGCTTCACCTGAGTTAGCCTGGTCCTAACGCATCACCTGAGTTAGCATAGTCCGAACGCATCACCCGAGTTAGCCTGGTCCTAAAGCATCACCTGAGTTAGCCCGGTCCTAAAGCATCACCTGAGTTAGCCTGGGCCTAAAGCATCACCTGAGTTAGCATAGTCCGAACGCATCACCCGAGTAAGCCTGGTCCTAAAGCATCACCTGAGTTAGCCCGGTCCTAACGCATCACCTGAGTTAGCCTGGTTCTAAAGCATCACCTGAGTTAGCATAGTCCGAACGCATCACCCGAGTTAGCCTGGTTCTAAAGCATCACCCGAGTTAGCATAGTCCGAACGCATCACCCGAGTTAGCCTGGTTCTAAAGCATCACCTGAGTTAGCATAGTCCGAACGCATCACCTGAGTTAGCCTGGTCCTAACGCTTCACCCGAGTTAGCCTGGTCCTAACGCTTCACCCGAGTTAGCCTGGTCCTAACGCTTCACCCGAGTTAGCCTGGTCCTAACGCTTCACCCGAGTTAGCCTGGTCCTAACGCTTCACCCGAGTTAGCCTGGTCCTAACGCATCACCCGAGTTAGCCTGGTCCTAACGCTTCACCCGAGTTAGCCTGGTCCTAACGCTTCACCCGAGTTAGCCTGGTCCTAACGCATCACCCGAGTTAGCCTGGTCCTAACGCTTCACCTGAGTTAGCCTGGTCCTAACGCTTCACCCGAGTTAGCCTGGTCCTAACGCTTCACCCGAGTTAGCCTGGTCCTAACGCTTCACCCGAGTTAGCCTGGTCCTAACGCATCACCTGAGTTAGCCTGGTCCTAACGCTTCACCCGAGTTAGCCTGGTCCTAACGCTTCACCCGAGTTAGCCTGGTCCTAACGCTTCACCCGAGTTAGCCCGGACCTAACGCTTCACCTGAGTTAGCCCGGACCTAACGCTTCACCTGAGTTAGCATAGTCCGAACGCATCACCCGAGTTAGCCTGGTTCTAAAGCATCACCTGAGTTAGCCTGGTTCTAAAGTATCACCTGAGTTAGCCTGGGCCTAAAGCATCACCCGAGTTAGCCTGGTTCTAAAGCATCACCTGAGTTAGCCTGGTTCTAAAGTATCACCTGAGTTAGCCTGGGCCTAAAGCATCACCTGAGTTAGCATAGTCCGAACGAATCACCTGAGTAAGCCTGGGCCTAAAGCATCACCTGAGTTAGCCTGGGCCTAAAGCATCACCTGAGTTAGCATAGTCCGAACGCATCACCTGAGTTAGCCTGGTTCTAAAGCATCACCTGAGTTAGCATAGTCCGAACGCATCACCCGAGTAAGCCTGGTCCTAAAGCATCACCTGAGTTAGCCCGGTCCTAACGCATCACCTGAGTTAGCCTGGTTCTAAAGCATCACCTGAGTTAGCATAGTCCGAACGCATCACCCGAGTTAGCCTGGTCCTAAAGCATCACCTGAGTTAGCCCGGTCCTAAAGCATCACCTGAGTTAGCCTGGGCCTAAAGCATCACCTGAGTTAGCATAGTCCGAACGCATCACCTGAGTTAGCCTGGTTCTAAAGCATCACCTGAGTTAGCATAGTCCGAACGCATCACCCGAGTTAGCCTGGTTCTAAAGCATCACCTGAGTTAGCATAGTCCGAACGCATCACCTGAGTTAGCCTGGTCCTAACGCTTCACCCGAGTTAGCAGGGTCCTAACGCTTCACCCGAGTTAGCCTGGTCCTAACGCATCACCTGAGTTAGCCCGGTCCTAACGCTTCACCTGAGTTAGCCTGGTCCTAATGCTTCACCCGAGTTAGCCCGGTCCTAACGCTTCACCCGAGTTAGCCTGGTCCTAACGCTTCACCCGAGTTAGCCCGGTCCTAACGCTTCACCTGAGTTAGCCTGGTCCTAATGCTTCACCCGAGTTAGCCCGGTCCTAACGCTTCACCTGAGTTAGCCCGGTCCTAACGCTTCACCCGAGTTAGCCTGGTCCTAACGCTTCACCCGAGTTAGACTGGTCCTAACGCATCACCTGAGTTAGCATAGTCCGAACGTATTACCCGAGTTAGCCTGGTTCTAAAGCATCACCCGAGTTAGCCTGGTCCTAACGCATCACCTGAGTTAGCCCGGTCCTAACGCATCACCTGAGTTAGCCCGGTCCTAACGCATCACCCGAGTTAGACTGGTCCTAACGCATCACCTGAGTTAGACTGGTCCTAACGCATCACCTGAGTTAGCATAGTCCGAACGTATTACCCGAGTTAGCCTGGTTCTAAAGCATCACCCGAGTTAGCCTGGTCCTAATGCATCACCCGAGTTAGCCCGGTCCTAACGCCTCACCCGTGTTAGCCTGGTCCTAACGCATCACCCGTGTTAGCCTGGTCCTAACGCATCACCCGGGTTAGCCTGGTCCTAACGCATCATCCGAGTTAGCCTGGTCCTAACGCATCACCCGAGTTAGCCTGGTCCTAAAGCATCACCCGAGTTAGCCTGGTCCTAAAGCATCACCCGAGTTAGCCTGGTTCTAAAGCATCACCTGAGTTAGCCCGATCCTAATGCATCACCCGAGTTAGCCTGGTCCTAAAGCATCACCTGAGTTAGCCTGGTTCTAAAGCATCACCTGAGTTAGCCCGATCCTAATGCATCACCCGAGTTAGCCTGGTCCTAAAGCATCACCTGAGTTAGCCTGGTTCTAAAGCATCACCTGAGTTAACCTAGGCCAAAAGCATCACCTGAGTTAGCCTTGGCCTAAAGCATCACCTGAGTTAGCCTTGGCCTAAAGCATCACCTGAGTTAGCCCGGTCCTAATGCATCACCCGAGTTAGCCTGGTCCTAACGCATCACCCGAGTTAGCCCGGTCCTAACACATCACCTGAGTTAGCCTAGTCCTAACCGATCATCCGAGTTTGCCTAGTCCTAACCAATCCCCCCCCCCCCCCTAGCCCGGTCCTTACGCATCACCTGAGTTAGCCTAGTCCTAACCGATCATCCGAGTTTGCCTGGTCCTAACCGATCATCCGAGTTTGCCTGGTCCTAACCGATCACCTGAGTTAGCCTAGTCCTAACCGATCACCCAAGTTAGCCTAGTCCTAACCAATCCCCCCCCTTAGCCCGGTCCTTACGCATCACCTGAGTTAGCCTAGTCCTAACCGATCATCCGAGTTTGCCTGGTCCTAACCGATCACCCAAGTTAGCCTAGTCCTAACCAATCCCCCCCCTTAGCCCGGTCCTTACGCATCACCTGAGTTAGCCTAGTCCTAACCGATCACCTGAGTTAGCCTAGTCCTAACCGATCACCCAAGTTAGCCTAGTCCTAACCAATCCCTCCCCTTAGCCCGGTCCTTACGCATCACCTGAGTTAGCCTAGTCCTAACCGATCATCCGAGTTTGCCTGGTCCTAACCGATCACCCAAGTTAGCCTAGTCCTAACCAATCCCTCCCCTTAGCCCGGTCCTTACGCATCACCTGAGTTAGCCCGGTCCTAACCGATCATCCGAGTTTGCCTGGTCCTAACTAATCCCGCCCCCTTAGCCCGGTCCTAACCAATCCCTCCCCTTAGCCCGGTCCTTACGCATCACCTGAGTTAGCCCGGTCCTAACCGATCACCCAAGTTAGCCTAGTCCTAACCAATCCCCCCCCTTAGCCCGGTCCTTACGCATCACCTGAGTTAGCCTAGTCCTAACCGATCACCTGAGTTAGCCTAGTCCTAACCGATCACCCAAGTTAGCCTAGTCCTAACCAATCCCTCCCCTTAGCCCGGTCCTTACGCATCACCTGAGTTAGCCCGGTCCTAACCGATCATCCGAGTTTGCCTGGTCCTAACTAATCCCGCCCCCTTAGCCCGGTCCTAACCAATCCCTCGCCTTAGCCCGGTCCTAACACATCACCCGAGTTAGCCTAGTCCTAACCGATAATCCGAGTTTGCCTAGTCCTAACCAATCCCTCCCCTTAGCCCGGTCCTTACGCATCACCTGAGTTAGCCCGGTCCTAACCGATCACCCAAGTTAGCCTAGTCCTAACCAATCCCCCCCCTTAGCCCGGTCCTTACGCATCACCTGAGTTAGCCTAGTCCTAACCGATCACCTGAGTTAGCCTAGTCCTAACCGATCACCCAAGTTAGCCTAGTCCTAACCAATCCCTCCCCTTAGCCCGGTCCTTACGCATCACCTGAGTTAGCCTAGTCCTAACCGATCATCCGAGTTTGCCTGGTCCTAACCGATCACCCAAGTTAGCCTAGTCCTAACCAATCCCTCCCCTTAGCCCGGTCCTTACGCATCACCTGAGTTAGCCCGGTCCTAACCGATCACCCAAGTTAGCCTAGTCCTAACCAATCCCCCCCCTTAGCCCGGTCCTTACGCATCACCTGAGTTAGCCTAGTCCTAACCGATCACCTGAGTTAGCCTAGTCCTAACCGATCACCCAAGTTAGCCTAGTCCTAACCAATCCCTCCCCTTAGCCCGGTCCTTACGCATCACCTGAGTTAGCCCGGTCCTAACCGATCATCCGAGTTTGCCTGGTCCTAACTAATCCCGCCCCCTTAGCCCGGTCCTAACCAATCCCTCGCCTTAGCCCGGTCCTAACACATCACCCGAGTTAGCCTAGTCCTAACCGATAATCCGAGTTTGCCTAGTCCTAACCAATCCCCCCCCTTAGCCCGGTCCTTACGCATCACCTGAGTTAGCCTAGTCCTAACCGATCATCCGAGTTTGCCTGGTCCTAACCGATCACCTGAGTTAGCCTAGTCCTAACCGATCACCCAAGTTACCCTAGTCCTAACCAATTCCCCCCCTTAGCCCGGTCCTTACGCATCACCTGAGTTAGCCTAGTCCTAACCGATCATCCGAGTTTGCCTGGTCCTAACCGATCACCCAAGTTAGCCTAGTCCTAACCAATCCTTCCCCTTAGCCCGGTCCTTACGCATCACCTGAGTTAGCCTAGTCCTAACCGATCACCCAAGTTAGCCTAGTCCTAACCAATCCCTCCCCTTAGCCCGGTCCTAATGCATCACCTAGTCCTGATCCAATCAATCACCTGGTCCTACATCCACAGGTGAGGGGCTGGGTTACCTGGCCAGGGACTCGCTGTCAAAGTAGCAGATGAATTTTCCACGTCTGAACTGTTGGACCAGTCTCTCCACCCTCTCCTCGTCCTCCTGTTCGATCTGGGTCCAGGTCTTTCCCCTGAAGGACTTGGGGATATGTTGTGGGACCGGGAGGACATCCTCTATAGGAATGTTCCAGAACCCCTGGTCCTGCTTGATCCCACCGCCAAGCAGAGCCGAGTCCAGCTGGCTGGAGTACAGCTGGTCCTCCAGGTCCACCTGGACGTCCATCAGACGGCCCAGGTGCCGTCCCTCAGTCCCAGCCACCTGGACGGCCGTGTCGCCGCGTTTCCCCGCCCTCTGGAAAACTCCCTGCAAAGGAATATTCAGAGTCAGGACCTGTTCAACCTGAAGCCCCGCCCCCTGATACATGAAGCTCCGCCCCCCATGCATACCTGCACCGGAGCGTCCCAGTCTTCACTCAGCGTTTCCATGGAGACAGGAAGGCTGAGAGGAAGACTGTGGTCCTCCTGCTGGTGGGGAGGAGCGCTGCAGCTGTAGCAGCACATCTGGATCACCTGAGGAGTTTCAGAGGATCAGGTGGAGATCCCAGAGCAGCGTCTCTCCATCAGCGTCACCCACCTGTTCGATGGTCTGCTCCACAGGGTCCCTGTGGACCCGCGCCTCCTCCATCTGGACCTTCTGCCAGCTCACAGCGGGGGGCCGGGCCCCTGTGGAGAACCTGGGCCCCAGAGATGGTCTGTGGAGGTCCGTGGAGGTCCCTGGCCTCTGGCTGGGCCTGGTAGAGGACGAGGACTCGCTGGGTTTCCTCCTGTTAGTCTTCCTGTGGGCCTTCCTATGGACAGGGGGTGGAGTCTGAGTCTGAGGGGGCGGGTTCTGAGCCTGAGGGGGCGGAGTCGGAGCCTGTGGGCCTCTGGGCCATGGAGGGCCAGGTTCCCTGGATGGAGAGGACAGCCTGTCCTGCTGAGCTCTGTCTCCTGATTGGCTGCCCTCCTCCCCCTCCCTGGGCGGCTGGTCAGAGGGGGGGGCGGAGCTGTCGCTGTCTGAGGAACAGACCTCATCCAGCTCCACCTTTGGCAGCAGAGGGGTGGAGACGGAGGGGAGGTCAGCGTGGGACGGCCTGATGGACACATGGAGTGAAGCAGCTTTAGCGTCTCAAATGGTTATTTTAAAGGATTCCTCAGGCTAATATATGGCGGCTAACACCATCGATGCTAGCAGCGGGGCACCGGGTCACGTTTCACTTCCCATCCAGGAAGATTTCTCAGTTCAAACGTCTGGATCCGCAGTGAGTCTTTATAGAGACGAGGCTGGTATTACATGCAGATGGAAACCGATGGGCGGGTCGTTTGGTTCCATTGTTAGCCTGTAATACCTGCAGCCTGTCTATGATTGTTAAAGGTCACATAAAGACTTAAACTCACTGCAGATCCAGACCTTTGAATTGAGAAATCTTCCTGGATGGGAAGCCAAACGTCTTCAAACCTGGGAAACCAAGTCCAGTGGATTGTTTTTAAACTTTTACGGAATGACTGAGAACCTTCATCAGCAAACCTTTAAAACAACAGAGAGCAGAAAACTTCACTGATTTAATCATTCAGACTGGCTTCTATTTAAAAACTTTTATTTAAACCAGATTAAAGGTTAAAATAAAAAAGATCCCAGCGACCAATCAGGAAAGAAAGCAAAAACACACAATAATAAATAAAATGAGAAATAAAAAATGACTCTTTGTGTATAATATAAAAAATGTGGAATGAGTGAAATTGACCTAAAATTCCAAAATCAGTGTAAATATTGTCTATAAATTAGATCAGAGGTCGTTTCCAGGCCCCCAACTGATGGCGATCGAGCGGGGCCCCTGATTATAGATATATGGTATTAAATAGTGTTCTATCAAACTGGTTCTATAGCTGCTCTATTACAGATGGAGTAATGTAACTAAAGTAATCCCTCCCTGGGATTATTAAAGTATTCCTGGTTGATGGGACAGGTGTTGTGAATGAAACGGTGCCCAGACTGAAAGAGCTCCTGTGTGTCTCTGAATGTTAATGTGGATTTAAAGACATTTAAATCCCCACCCCATGCAGTACCTCCATGGACCCACTAGGGGTCCCCCTGTTTTACATTTTAAAATGTTCTAGTTTTTATTGTAAAACATGGATGCATAAAAACCTCATTTTATTTCAGTGTTGAATTCAGTTTAAAGTAACGGATTAGAATTAAAATGTCTCCTTTACTGGTTGATTTTCTTTATTCTGGCCCTGCTGGTTTTTAACTGGTTAGCGCTGCAGTAGATCATCTAATCTCTTCCTGTTTTTCTCAGCTGGGATCAAACGGCGCCATCGGCTTCACGGCTGATTAACCTTTTAATTGGTTTCCATGGAGACGCCGACATGCAGAGTTTATAAACTCCTTCATTTTGCTGCTTTTAGGGTCTATTAATAAATGGATGCTGCTTCCTTTATAGTTTTTGTTCTTACAAATTAGCGCGTTTAGTTGGTCGTCCAAAGCGTTAGATCCACCCGCTGCCGTTTATCGCTCTGCTTTAACTGGAGGCTGTAGAGTGGGAGAAAATAATCCTGTTTGGAGGAGGAGTTTATGATGCATTCAAAGTGTGTGGGAAAGATGAAACCGATGCAGACGGTGGACATGAGGATGCGGCCCCGATGGTTCTGATGACAGAGTCGCTTTAACTAACGAACGTGGGAAACTGGAGATCCATAGAACATGTAGCATCGCCATGGCGACAAGGCGGTTAGCTCTACTGGTCATTCTGAGGGATTAAAGAGTTTAAACCACAGGTGTCAAACTGGTTCCAGAAAGGGCCGTGTGGCTGCAGGTTTTCTTTCCAACCAAACAATAGCACACCAGACTCATTCATCCCATCAAGTCATCATGTTCAGATTGGACTCCCTTGATGAGATGACTTGAGTCTGGTGTGCTATTGTTTGGTTGGAAAGAAAACCTGCAGCCACACGGCCCTTTCTGGAACCAGTTTGACGCCCCTGGTTTAAACCTTCTGAGGGTAAAAAGAGAAATAATGAAATGGAGGAAAAACCAGAGCGGACGCTGGAAATGAGTTTATTTGCCTTTGGAGGCTGAAAACGAAGCTGCATTTCAAACGGATTCTGTTTTTTAATCTTTATTATTAGACGGGTGAGTTAACTCTCTGCTCCTAGTTTATGCTGATTAAACTAGTTTCCTAGTTTAATCAGCTGATCTGAACACCTGAGCTTGCTGCGCTCACCTGCCGTCGCCGTAGCGATGGGGGTGGTGCTCCTGGACGTCCTGCAGGAAGCGCTCCAGCAGCGTCAGTCCGCTCCTGGACGAGGACCTGGGGGAGGAGCCTCTGGAGGACGTGCTGACTGCGTCCAGGTGTCTGAGGCTGGACAGGTGCTGTGAGGGACAGGTGATGATGTCATCAGTGACTGAGAGCGGCCGCTGGCTGGTAGGGGGGTGCGGCGGCGTGCTGTACCTGCTCCAGGTGGGTGTAGAGGACCCTGCAGTAACCGCAGTAACCCTGCCTGCCGGGCTCACACCTGGACGGACCGGCCTCTGGCTCCGCCCACCTCCTGCCAGACACACAGCAGCTTCACTCACCTGCAGACGGACCCCACTGACAGAGCGCAGAGACACTTACCTGTTGGGAGGCTCCGCCTTCTTCTGGTGACCTGCCATGAAGCAACCAATCACAGTCAGAGACAGAGAGCAGCTCAGAGAAAGAAAACGGTTCTGATCTCACCTTCATCAGAGGGGCGGGGCATCCTGACGGCACACCTGGAGAACACACAGCGGTTAACACGGCTCCACCCCCCACCCCCCCATCATTCAGAGGACATCACTCACCCGGAAGCAGGGCGGTCAGGGCGTCTGTCCAATCAGAGGGCTCCATGCTGTAACCAACGGTAATGAGGCGGGGCTTCCAGGGTCCATGAGCCTGGGGGGCAGAGGGCGGGTTAGCATGCTAGCAGCTCTGACCGTGATGTCAGGATCTGCTTCTCTGTTCTCCATTTTTCATTTGGATGAAATAAGAGGAGGCGGGGTTACCAATCTACTGGCTCTGGAGAGCAGAGTTCGCTGCTTTTAGATGTTGTCTCCAAAGTCTCCAGTAGCAGAAAAAAGTCTCTAGATTTGGCGCTAGGAGCTTTTTAGAAATCAAAGTGCTAGAGGGGTCTGAAAAGTGGCTAAATATAGCGACTAAAGCGCTAAGTTGGCAACACTGCTCTTTGCATGGTTTGTTTTCAAACGGTTTGCTGCTGTCTGTTTGGACCTTTCTGAACATTTTCCCTCCCTAAAACTAGTAACGATAGTAAACTATGTGTTCATTTCCTGAGAAAATAAATATATTTAAATCTTTTCTGTTTCATCATCTGTTCCTGATCTGCACAGGAAATGGGATGCTACGCTACGTCCAGGAGCTAACTTCATCAGCTTTGGATGTAAACATGAATCTATTATTTCGGAGTTTAATGTTTTCGTTTCAACTTTATAGAATGCAGATAAACAGGATTTAATCAGATTTACTGCGGTGATCGTGTCCCGTGATGACGTCACAGCAACTGTTTAATGGAGGAAATGGAATCATTTTTTACTGATGTGTATTAGTATTCTTTGGTGAGTTAAGGATAGAAATTAATAACTTTAGTATCATGATTACATTATTATTGCTGCCAGTGGCCCGTTTTTCTGACCAAATCATCACCACAGATCCTCCCTCCCAGCAGACCCACCAGTGCTCCCATCAACCCCACTAAGCTGTTCTATTCATGCTGGTTTTGCAGTTTCTACCTAAATCAGTTAAATTACAGGCTGCTGTCAAAATGTCCACAGCTGTTTGTTTATTCTCCAGTTTTATATTAAAACACTTTACAGGATTTTATTGATCTTTTAACTCTTCTATTTTTCTAAGGTCCACATCTGTGCCCAGTTTTCTATAATCCTGTTGCTGCTATAAACACCACACTATTGAGGGACAATAAAGAGATTTTCTATTCTATTGTATAGTGGAGGGGAGTGATGCTGATGGAAATCACAGCAGCAGGAGGTGAAAAGCTGCTTTTAGCAGATGAAGGCAGTATTCCTGCTGTACCCACCTGCTGACACGAAGCTTCTTAATCCGCTTTCACTGTTTACATTAGCTTCCGGTTTCAGTCGAAAGTATCTGAATTTATAGGATTTCTACATCTGGAATCAAAGTTCTGCTCTGATCTGACTGAAGAACCGGAACCCTGGATCTACCCGCTGACCAATCAGGAACCAGTTCAGTCACCCGCCTGGCTAACCAGTTAGCTTCCAGTCACTGACCGCATGAAGTTAACTAAAGCTTCCGTTCACTGATGTCCGAGAGGTTCGGTTCTGACCCGGTCCGTTTATCAACAGATGCACGAGCTGCTGACGTGTCCGATTGGTCAGTTTCCGGTTAGCCGCAGTGCTAGCCTGTTAGCCTCAGAGCTCCGCAGCAGGAAGCGGGGATCCTGGCAGCGCTCCGCTCCAACCTCCGCTGCTCCTTCGCTCCGGGTCCCTAAAGGGGGGGGTCGCTGCCTCAGACCGGCAGCAGGTTATTGATGTTCTCCCGCCGCGCGCCCCTCTGCTGCTGTTTAGTTTCCGGTCCCAGGCTTCTTCTGCTGGGGCATAGCGGAGCTCTGCTGCCACCTGCGTTCACAGCGAGAACTGCAGCCTGTATGAGAGGAGCTCCACCGCTAATGTTGCTAACTGCATGCTAACCTGCTGGGTACTAAACTGGTTCTAGAGCTGGAACCAGCTCCACAGCTAATGTTGCTAACTGCATGCTAACCTACTAGAGCTAAACTGGTTCTAAAGCTGGAACCAGCTCCACAGCTAATGTTGCTAACTGCATGCTAACCTACTAGAGCTAAACTGGTTCTAGAGCTGGAACCAGCTCCACAGCTAATGTTGCTAATTGCATGCTAACCTACTAGAGCTAAACTGGTTCTAAAGCTGGAACCAGCTCCACAGCTAATGTTGCTAACTGCATGCTAACCTACTGGTGCTCACATGGTTCTAGAACTGGAACCAGCTCCACAGCTAATGTTGCTAACTGCATGCTAACCTACAGGTGCTCACATGGCTCTAGAACTGGAACCAGCTCCACAGCTAATGTTGCTAATTCAATATGCATCAGGAATCAAGAGTCCATGTTTTTCTGTTTTCCTTTATTAAATCAGATCTTATTGAACGCCGCTACATCCATGGACTGGACGTGGTCCTCGAACGCCGTGATCTTCTCCTCCAGGATGTCTGTGCCCACCTGGAACAGAACAACAGGGTCAGACGCAGACACTAGGCCGACCAATCAGGGGACAGGATGGGGGAACGTTACCTTTTCATCTTCAACCACACAGCTGATCTGAAGCTTCTTGATGCCGTAGCCCACTGGGACCAGTTTGGCTGCAGGAGGAGAACATGGACCAATTAGAGAGGAGAACCCAGTCAGAGAGGAAGAGAGAAAACCCGGGACCCGGTCAGAGAGGAAACCCGGGACCCGGTCAGAGAGGAAACCCGGGACCCGGTCAGAGAGGAAACCCGGGACCCGGTCAGAGAGGAAACCCGGGACCCGGTCAGAGAGGAAACCCGGGACCCGGTCAGAGAGGAAACCCGGGACCCGGTCAGAGAGGAGAACCGGTTCTGTTCAGAGGAGAACCGGACCTGCAGCAGATCAGATCAAAGAGCTTCCATCAGGCTTCAGTCGAAAGATGGTGAGATACATGATCATCATTATCTGCAGGGCAGCAGCAGAGCGGTAGTAGTACCGCCGTGGTACCGTGAGGCGGTACCTCGCAGTAGTACGGCGTAGTAGTACTTACACTGTCCCCAGACCAGCCCGTCCATCTCAATGCTGCGGACGCACTCCTCTAGCTTGGCCATGTCCGTCTCGTCGTCCCAGGGCTTGACGTCCAATAGGAGCGAAGACTTGGCGATGAGGGCGGGCTCTAAGGAGACAGACAGCTCCGTTACCATGGAAACCACACCACCCAGTACCCCCCCCCCAATGGGAGGAGACTGGTCAGGTAAACAGGCGTCCATCAGGTGGTCAGCCGAAAGATGGTGATTGATGCTCATCACTCAGTCATGTGATCAGAGCGGGCGCCGTGATTGGCCGCCATGAACGTACTCTTGGCCTTCTTGGCGGCGTACTCGGCCAGGCGCTGCTCCTTCAGCTTGGCGGCCTCGGCGTCCTCCTGGGGGACACAGGAGAGTCAGACTCCACCCACCCACCCATTCAGCTGTGACCTCACTGTGACATCACAGCACCCTCACCTCCTCGTCGGAACCAAACAGGTCGATGTCGTCGTCATCGTCGTCCTTAGAGGCGGAGCCTGAGGTGGTGTCAGCCACGCCGGGGGGGCCGTACTGACCCAGAGGCTTCTTCACACCTGGGAGGCTGAGGGACAGGAAGTCAGCCGCCACACCTGAGGATGATGATGATGGTGAGGATGAAGGCTCACCCACCTGGTCTTCTGGTTCTGGTAGGACCGGATGTGGTTGTACCAGCGCAGGGCGTGGTTCAGGTCCGCAGGGGGCGCCGCCGACAGAACCTCAAAGACCGCCACATCTGCCTGGGAGGGGACGAACCTGGGGAGACGGTTACCATGGTTACTGATGGGGATCCAACTGGACCGGACCGGTGGAAGAGCGCTCAGACCCTGAGGAACCAGAACCTCCCAGATGAATCCAGACCGGCTGGTTCCGGTTCTGTTCTGGGTCCAGGACTGCTCAGACCCTGAGGAACCAGAACCACCCCCCATGGATCCAGACCAGCTGGTTCTGCAGCCTGGGTCCAGGATCGCTCAGACCCTGAGGAACCAGAACCACCCCCATGGATCCAGACCAGCTGGTTCTGCAGCCTGGGTCCAGGACCGCTCAGACCCTAAAGAACCAGAACCACCCCCATGGATCCAGACCAGCTGGTTCTGCAGTCTGGGTCCAGGATCGCTCTGACCCTAAAGAACCAGAACCACCCCCATGGATCCAGACCAGCTGGTTCTGCAGTCTGGGTCCAGGATCGCTCAGACCCTGAGGAACCAGAACCACCCCCATGGATCCAGACCAGCTGGTTCTGCAGCCTGGGTCCAGGACCGCTCAGACCCTAAAGAACCAGAACCACCCCCATGGATCCAGACCAGCTGGTTCTGCAGTCTGGGTCCAGGATCGCTCTGACCCTGAGGAACCAGAACCACCCCAATGGATCCACACCGGCTGGTTCTGGTTCTGCAGTCTGGGTCCAGGAACGCTCTGACCCTGAGGAACCAGAACCACCCCCATGGATCCAGACCAGCTGGTTCTGCAGTCTGGGTCCAGGACCGCTCAGACCCTAAAGAACCAGAACCACCCCCATGGATCCAGACCAGCTGGTTCTGCAGTCTGGGTCCAGGATCGCTCTGACCCTGAGGAACCAGAACCACCCCAATGGATCCACACCGACTGGTTCTGGGTCCAGGATCGCTCAGACCTTGAAGAACCAGAACCACCCCCCATGGATCCACACCGGCTGGTTCTGGGTCCAGGACCGCTCAGACCCTGAAGAACCAGAACCACCCCCCATGGATCCACACCGGCTGGTTCTGGGTCCAGGACCGCTCAGACCCTGAAGAACCAGAACCACCCCCCATGAATCCAGACCGGTTGTTTCTGGTTCTGCAGTCTGGGTCCAGGATCGCTCAGACCCTGAGGAACCAGAACCACCCCCCATGGATCCACACCGGCTGGTTCTGGGTCCAGGATCGCTCAGACCCTGAGGAACCAGAACCACCCCCCATGAATCCAGACCGGTTGGTTCTGGTTCTGCAGTCTGGGTCCAGCTAAAGACCCAGAAGCTCCCAGGGTTCGGACATCCGGTCCGGTCCAATAGAACCTGCTGTGAACCACAGACACGTCATCTGCGCAGCCGCAGACACGCTGCTGCCGCCATGTGACCGCGGCGCGCGCCACATTAAACTCACATTAATCCAATAAAACCTGATTTTTTTCTCATCTAAACTCTAAAGTCCAACAGAACCTGCAGGTTCCGACCGAACCGGAAGCTATTCCGGCTCCATGTTGGTCCAGTTTGTCTTCACTGACCGGGAAACCTGCAGCTAACCGTTAGCCTTTAGCTAAAGCAAGATGGCGGCGGCCTCGCGCCTTCTGATGGACTCACCCTTCGATGTAGCTGCGCTCCGACAGGAAGTCATTGAGGACCTTGAGGCCGGAGGCTGATTTCAGGTCACCGAAGCCCATGGCGGAGCCGAAGAACCGGAGAAGGAGACAGAAGGAGCCGCGGGAGAAAGAGGGAAGGAGGCGGAGGAGGGAGGAGGATTTATAGGCCTCACTGACTCCTCCTCTTCCTCCTCCTCCTGCTCTTCCTCCTCCTCCTCCTGCTCTTCCTTGAGGAGACCTGCAGGGTCTGCCTAGACTCTGGGCCCCAGACGTCATATTGGACAATGAACGACGTGCCCAGAGGGCGGCCATCTTGGATCAGACCAGCTGCAGTCAGAATCAGCAGGAGGCGCCTTAGATCTCAGAGTTAAAGATAATATTACAATATTTTTACATTTCATAACCCCTTAAAGACCAAAATAAATGTTATAATGACCTTTGACATTTATGGCATTTATTCATGTTAAAAACTATTTAAACTCTAACTGGATGAGATATATGCAAAGGTATACAGTTTGCAATTAAAAATAAAAAAGCTGTCCTGGAAATATCCCATCATGCACCTCTTCTTTCCTTTGGCTCCTTCTTCTCCTCCTTCAATAAAGTCAATCAATCAATTAAATATTAATTTCAATTAATTAAATATTAATTTCATAAACACAAAGTCTTATTTTATAAGATTATGTTTTACAAATATATATTTATTACTGATATTGTTATTCAGTAATTTAAATCATTGTTTTCTGACAAGGAGTATTATGATCTATAGAGGAAAGTTTGTTGTAATGTGATTTATAAAAGATAATAAATTCAAGATAATTCACACTTTTTTGTTAACTATGTAATTCCAGATGTGTCCAGTAGGAGTAGTTGGCTTCTACTGTATATATATGTGTGTGTGTGTGTGTGTGTGTGTGTGTGTGTGTGTGTGTGTGTGTGTGTGTGTGTGTGTGTGTGTGTGCCATTAGCTCCTGGTTTTCTTGTTCTGGGCCGGTTCCTCCAGTTGGTCTGGTGTGCCTGAGCTGCTCCTGCAGCAGGAATGCTGCCAGACCTGCTGCTGGTCACATGACCTGCTGGGAGGGCTGCTATTGGCCCAGACCAAAGGGCCTGCCACACCTGGAGGACAATCAGTCAGAACCAAACAGCAGACAGAGATGGGTCAGAGCAGCTGCAAGTCTTCTCAGGTGAGTTCCTCTGCTTCTGTTTGTTGATTGGATTCTGATGAAACTGGGTACTGATGCTGGGGAAAACCAAATTACTGGACCTGGAAGGACTGGAATCACTATATGACCTGAATCAGCTAGATGCTGTGGAACTTTAGGGGTTCTCCCTGGAAACTATGACCATGTTCCACAGTCTGCATTCAACCCGACATTAATCTGGATTCTCTGACCTCCTGACATTAATCTGGATCCACTGACCTCCTGACATTAATCTGGATCCGCTGACCTCCTGACATTAATCTGGATTCTCTGACCTCCTGACATTCATCTGGATCCGCTGACCTCCTGACATTAATCTGGATCCGCTGACCTCCTGACATTCATCTGGATCCACTGACCTCCTGACATTCATCTG